TGAAGGATGCATCTCATATGACTTGGATTAGAGTCCATAAAATAATTGATTCAGTCAGCTGGTTCTAATTACACATTTGATGCATAATAGTTGTTCCTTTTGGATTCAGTCAACTTCTAGAAGAGTTTAAGATAGGCTGAAGGATGCATCTAATATGACTTCTGCATTCCCCCATCCTATACCTTCTTATGAGTCTAATATGTATAAGAGTTTCTATATGTTTCTTCACTGAGAAATGAATTGAAGCAAGCCTCAGGCCTCTTTTCATCATCCTTTAGTATCACTTTGTCATCTACTATTGCATCTTTTTCCACTGGAAATTAACTATTAATATTAAATCAGATTCATTCTGTTGTTCCCATGATTTTCTATAGAAAAATATATGTAGTCAATACTGTCAACAAATTCAGACCAAACAGCCTCTTCACTGCATAAATTTGTTCCATTATCCACTTCATGACTATGTCGTCTTAGGCCACTTATTTCGTTAGTACTTAATGCTATGTGCTATCTAATACATCTACGTAGAATAAATACACAAAGCCTATGATACTGTCAGTGTATCTCCTATCTCAGTGGACAACCAATTTGAAGATAAGTTAATAAACATCTCTAGTCTGACATGAGAAAGCAGATAAACAATTAAGAGTCAAGCTATCATGTTTGGAACCCTGCATGGCAGCATCTCCATAATACATACCAAGGAGAGAGATCCAGGACACCTTTAAAGTTCAATGATGCAAAGAAGTGGAAACCATCTATTTGCATGTTGAAGGATCCAAGTAGCATATGCATTTAATTATATAAGGGAAGCAAGAGTTGAAAATGAAACTTACTAATGTAGATGAGTGTCAAGAAACTGAACAAGCTACCAATTACAGAAAGAACCCACAAGCCTGCAATTACCTGCATATTTGGCTTAGTTGTTAAGATCTTGAGCACAAACTGCATCAATAGAAGGACATAATGAAAAGAAAGACATTAAAATTCTACCATCAAAAACTTCTTCAAATCCTTTCCACAAGCAACATAGTAGAAAGTTGCCAAAGCCTCATTAATTTCATATCTTACAGATTGGGCGATACTCAGAAATAGGTCCTCAGGAAGGAAGACTTCAGGAAATTTTGGTGGAGACCTGTAAAGCAATCAGATTCATGTCATAGGCTTTAGTTTGCACAGAGAAAGCCTATATCTGAAAGAGCTTATAATGTGTATGTCATATTGTGTAAGTATATATATATATATATATATATATTCATGATGAGAACTCATAGAGAGTAGTATTAGAGCAATTAGATTTCAGGTTAACAAATATCCTATACCCTTATGTAGCTAATTCTTTAATTCTCAGACAGACATCTGCAGGAGATACTCGGTTGTGACATTAAAAACTCACTATTATCAACACAATCAGCATATCATCTACTCCAGGAATAAAAATATCTCTGTAGGACATGATACTGAAAAAGCACATATAAACCAATCATACTGAGAAAGCCAGTCATATGACAAAATTTTCAGCAGAACTGTTTGGTTACCTGTTGACAAATGATGCTCCGTTGATCCAGAGAAAAGATATTGCCAGCAAAAGTATAAGAAAGTGGCAAATAAATGTGAGCAAGTGATAGCCCATCCAGACAAAGAGAAGCCAGATAACAGTAACTCCAGCAAATATGCTTCCTGATAGTTGCATATTTCTCCACAGTATGATATCAGCAGCTATAATCACAACAAACTTATCATTTAATAAGATTTGCATTTTTTACTAAACCAAATTCAAGAGAAATGAAAAGGTTCTAGGAGGTGGTGAAGGCAAAAATATTAATATGCATTGAACTTAAAAGAACATTATTCAGCATAACAGAAGTACTTGTATTTTTGCTAAAGTTTACATTTGTAGAAATGTTAATGGACTTCACTGTCTGTTACAAAATTCAGTAAGCTGTAAAAATAATACATAGGACAGAAAATAGTGCAACAGCATCTGCTTTTACCAGTAATTTGCATGTGCATGACTCCAATAGAAAAAAGAAATAAAGAAATAAAGATTGATAATATATTCAGAACAAAACAGAATGTAGCAACCTTGAAGTTTCTAATTAAACAGGTACTAGGGAATTAAAGAGCTGCATTGTTTATAGCAATAGGAAGTAAATAAGAACAAACAGCATACCTACGATTGGCCATGTGATTTCCATAGATAAAATTAGAAAAAAAACACATTTCAATTTCTCATTTAATTTATCTCTTTTTGTAACACTAACAATTTTAAACTATTACAAGAACTTAGAGACCACATACAACAAGTTGAAAATAAACAAAGAAGCTTCCCAGTGATATGTTTGATAAAAACTTCTAAAGAAGCAAATAAGAACTTTGTAACGTGATAAATATCTGCTTTGTAAAGCCATTAGGCACACTTGATCAACAAAAACAAATAACATAATTACATAGATAAATATCTGCTTTGTAAGTGATCCAAAAAGAAAACATCATGGACTCCAAAATTAATAGACACTATGCTATTATTAACCAAATATAAGCCAGGATTTTGCTCAAGCATGATAAATACAATACCAAATAAAAGCCCTTTCTGATGGCTGCATAAAGGCCAGTCTGCTATTGCCTATCCTACACTCTAAAACAAACTAATAGTTTGAATTCTGATCCTTTAGTCCCATCAATCAAGAAATTAACATTTCTGCCTTCAGAGTTGGTTTGCATTTATAATATGGTCTAAAATATATATATTCATTAAATATCAATTGTGTATTAAATTCCTGAAATATACAAAAATTTTCATCAATAGATTCCATCCAAGATGTTGCCAAACTGACAATTGGTTCTCCCACTCCAACTTCTATATATTATCGCCCGCTGAAATCTCCCAACCCTGAATACTCTTTTAGTTAATACCTATTCTCTGAATCTATTGCTCCTAGCAACACTTCAAGCTCTTCATCCACAATCCTTCAATCCATCCGTCCATTTTTCACTGACATTGCTCTCTTTTTGAAAGAGTCCCTTCGTTGCTAATGTGCTCTACCTTGTCCTCTGTTATCAAACTAGAAGAGTGTCAACCAAAATGAAAAAAAGAAAAAAATATTTAGATGGAATAAGAATTAAAATGCTGCCGGTGTCCTTCCGTAAAAGAAATAGAAAAATCAGAAAATAGGATAAGGAGGAGAAGAAAGGAAAATGGAGGATAAAGGGAAGGGACTCCTAAATTCTTTGAGACAATTAATCCACATAAAAGCCACCTGATTCCCCCACACCTGGAAAAATTATGCAAGCTCAAGATAAAGTTCTAATTTATCCTGGTTGCCTTCTTCTCTTCTAAACTTAGGCACAACAAATATGATGAAAATATCTGAGAACTAGCAAAAAGAAGGGGGGTAGGACCCAATCATATCATGACTAAATTGTCCAAATGAAATTTGATCTTCATCATTCTTCTCTCGTTTCTTCACCATGACATCAAATCCATGGTCTGCTCATGATTAACTAGAAAATATCAAGCCCAATAGGTTTCTGAAGTAAGTGTAAACACAATTACGATGACTTCGTAGCACACCCACTTCACATTTTCTATTCAAAACAACCAGAATTTGCAAGTAAAATATTCAAAACACTTACCAAATACGATAATATCATACAGAATAGAAATGATAATGGAGATCGAGATAGACCATAAATTGCAAACAGAACATACATTTTCCTCCACCAAGTAGGGCATGTACCGATTCCTTCCTTCCAAACAACCATTTCTTTCTTGAATTATGAAACAAGGGCTTCTCATCATCGGAATCCGAAGACGACCCTCGATATTCGTGGATCTTCTCGTTGATCCTCTCTGAGCCATCAACTTCCGACATCTTCACTTGAATCCTTCAACCAAGACACCAACCCATAACGATCAGACTAAAACCTGGACGCGTATTGCGAGAACATCGTACCATTACATGAAAGATATACATCAAAAGGAAAACGTTTACTACATCTCGCCTAAAGAAGCAGAATATTGGTCTCAGAACGAAAGAAAATCGATCCAAGATGGAAAAAAATTCAAAAAAAAAAAAGAGAGAATAGATCGATCTAATAAGAGCGAAGAATTCGATCTCACGGGATGGATATCGGAGTTACAAGAGAGGATTAGGTTCTGAGATTCGCGCAATGGCGTATCTTATTCTTAGCCTGTCTTCTTCTTCCGTTGGTTTCCCTTCTCTCTCGCACGAACCGAAACGGAAAGCAGAGAGCAGACGGGGAGGAGCCGAGGCCCTCCTTATATACGTCTCCGTCGGGATCATCGGACGGCTGCCAAAAGTTCTGCTCGCTGCGATCCGACTGATGCTAAAGATTCGACGTTAGTGATTCTCGACGAAGAACTTAAGCCGTCGGATTTATTTGATGTCGAAGTGGATTTAACCGCCCGGCTCGAGAAACGGCCGAGAAGCGGGTTCGAAATTAACTGGTCAGACCAAATTACCAAAACACCCAAAGAACGATAGCATACTCCTAAGATAGCCAAAGCTAAGATGGTAATTTGAGTAATTCCATTTCAAATCAAATCCCTTGACATCAAAACACAAGAGATGCAATCATTTTCTCAGTTAATAACAATGAGAATAATAGCAAAACACCCACACATATTAGAAAGAAAAACTTTTTGGACCCAAAATTTTGGTGTCTCAGCATCAGCAATCCACATAATATATTTCTGATAACCCAACTCAAATCTTTAATTTAAACAGGTAATGTACATCCTTACAAAAGACTAATATGGATACAGAGAACGGGTAACATATCTAAATCTGTGCTTTGCAGGTCTGCTTATTATGCCCTAGCCCTTGGCACTTGCTGCAGTGAACTGCTCTTTTTATCACAATCCTAGGTTCTACAGGCTTTTCCTTTGGCCGGCCGGCCAGCCGGCGGGTACGAGGAGGCCATGTACTTGCAGCATGGAAGAGGTTGGTGCAGACCGGCCGACCAACATCAGGTATGGGATTGATGGACAATGAATAAGCTAGACGGTAGCACCCCGTCGAGAAGTACTTGGAACAATAATCATATATGCATTGATTGGTTTGTTCCAGTACAGCAAGAGCGTGCACACAAGGTAGGCCAGTCACCTGCCATCGTCTGCATGTGCATTCCCTAGTTTCGGTGTTGACGATTTTGGTCGACTCATCGCTCACCTCAAACACACTGCCAGCTGAACAAATCACACCAAGAGAGCGTGCTTTGATCATCTCTTCCTGTACCTTCTGATTTGCGGAGGGTACAAGTGCCTCAGTCCAAGTGTTTGAAGACTCACGGCGGCTAAACATCAACTCCATCAGCTTGCACCTCAGGATGTCAATTATCTGCAGTACTGATGGTTCATATCTCGTCGATACCCAGCTGTTGAATTTCTCTGTAGCACCAGATGAGTAATGACCGTGTCTCGAACCCTTGATGAAGGCATCAGACCAGGATTCTGGTTTCATGGCCAAAACCCATTCAGCAAGTTCTTTTGACTGAATCCTGATGTTTTCAATGGATTCATTGAACTCATCAACTTTACAAGCATATATGGCTCTTCTAAGATGATCGACCATTTTATCCTTCACTTCCTGTGTCCAGGTGTTCTCCATCTCTGTCATAAAATTTTCTATGAGGCACTGTTCGCTGTAGCAATGAAAACTGTCCTCAAACACCTTGGACAATTCCTCCTCCAAGCCATATTGACAGCTTGACACAAAAGTGATGACACGAGACAGAGTAAAAGCAGACTTAAGCTGTACCAAAAACCAATGCCAATTCTCCCTTGTCTCAGAATCTACAACAGAGAAAGCAACCGGATAGATATCATTCTCTCCATCAACTGCAGTTGCGACTAGAAACTTCCACTGCTTATTTGCTTTCAGAGATAAGTCATCAAGAAAAAGGAGAGGGCGGCAACCATGCTCGAAACCATAAAGTGAGGCATGAAAGGCAACAAAGAAACGAAATCTTGAATCATCTGATGTCTGTAATGTTGCAACACTACCTGGATTTGTCTCTATTATCCTCTCACAGAACCAGGGCAGTTGATTGCAAGCCTCTTCATGTGAGTTGTGGAGCTCTTTCTTGGCAATAAATTTGCCACGCCATGCTTGTGAGTAGTTTAAGCTGAGTCCATATTCTCGTTGAAGATCATTTGCAATATCCATTGGCTTATAATTTGGTGTCTCTCGCAACTTGTCCTTTATAATACTAGCAACCCATCTTTGTGATGCAAGCCGACGACTTTCCTTACTAAGTTCCTTTCCACATGTATGAGTATCATTTATTTTCTTAATCATAAATTCTTGTTTGGCAGATGACCTAGATGCATGTATTCTCCATGGACAACCCTCAATAGTACATTCAGCAGTTACCCGAGATCTGTCATTCTTAATAAATCTATACATGAAACTATTTGCAATGGCGTACTTGTGCAATGCATCACGGAAGGCCTTTGGACTAGACAATACCTGACCTACGCCAGTGATCATACTATTCCAATCGGTACATAATCTTCGCCGTTTAGCTTCATCAAGAGTATCTAGTGAGGTGGTGTTAGCATCGGTCAACATACCTGAGTCAGCCACAACGCTCCTAATTATCCTACCAAAAATAAATAAATAAATCTAATCACTCTTCTCCTGTTTGAACAACTTTTGCAATAAAAATCTGAAGTGTATGGTACATACCTGTTTTCAGCTTTCTTCAGGATATATATGTCAGTTGTATCTGAATTTGCATTAAAATTAACCATGCGTCGCAGGTCTTTGTCGTTAGATATTGTGATGAGAGTCCGTTTGTTTCTTGGAAGGAAGTACTTAATTGAAAATAGTTCAGCATTGATGTTAAACATAGAAGATATCTCTGACTTCAAATCATAGAGTGACATTTCACTGTCAACATCAATTGCATGTGCGTCACCACCAGAATAAGACAGGGTTCCATCATTATTTGTAACAAATCCTCCACCAGATTGGCAAATAGCTAGAATTTTCCCTCTTCCCATGGTATAGAACAATTCTTACAGCCACTTCATGAATCTGAGTTAATGATGCAAAAACAAGCACAAAATTAAACAAAATATGAATAGAACACCAACCTCATGGAATAATTAAAAAAATGAATAGAATTAAATATAGCTAGATATTTTATGTTCTTCAATGATGGAAACTATGTCCAGAAGTCGATTCAATGAGTAAAACTCGGAATGCTTTCTTCACTAGCTTTCGGCCAACTTCAAGTGCAAGCTTTGCAGGACTGGTGTAAGGCCATCTCAGTAAGAGTAAATTTTAAGTGGAGAGTCTGAAACCCTTCTAATAAAATTGTCTTTCTAATTAGTTAGTCTCTTGTTTTAAGATTCTACCTAGCTGATTACGAATTATCCTTTTGAACATAAAATATCATTAAAGAAATTACTGAATTTTGCTTCTTTTGATGCTTATTAAAGAAATGTATTCTATTTTCATTGCCAAACCCATATTTATTTGTTCTAAAATGAATTTTTCTAAACAATTTTCTCGTTATACCACTAGAAAATTGCTTACTAAAATCTAATTTTGGATGGCAGGGTAACGATGATCTTCCTGACCCTTCAGAACTATTACAATTCTCTATCAAAACTTGGAATCTTCATGTTTGATTCAACAATAAACTAAGTTTTTTGCTAAAGCTCATTTTATTCAAATTACATTAACTAAAGTCCAAGTCTGACATTGAAATCAGAGAACCTACCAGAATTTATCTTTGATTGATTTTGTCCGTCACTTCCACTTATGGAAACAAGAACTTGAGTATATAGTTGTTTTGGCTTTGCATTGCAAATAGCATAGATCTGGAAATTTCTATGGATTTGAATTATACCACAAGCCGTAGGGATTACTGTTTAATTCCTTGATTAGGGCTTCTTCCTACCTAATACTTGCCAGTTAGACAACAATCCTAAATGTTGTTGTCATGGTCTATCAACCATATGCAATTGAGGCATAGAAGTGAGCACAGATATCACTGATTATTAAAGTGGAGTCCCAGTGTCCCACTACCAGCAACGATTTATATTGCCCTCGCCGAGCATGGAGCAATTTCTATGCAAAGCAACAAGTTGAATTATCCAAAATAATACAAGCCATTGTAGCTCATAAAACAATAAACAACTTATACCTACGCATAAAGAAATAGAGCATTAAATCAAAAGATTCATGCAGCGGCATCACCACTGAAATTTAGTTATTTCATCGAACTCTGTCAAGCGACTCTAACAACCTTTCATTTTAGACCTTCCAGAATGAAATTAATTGGACAATCTATATTGTCTGTGGTCCTAGACACCCATTACGAGACCACACTGACGCTTAAATGTGCCTCAAAACTTCTAAGCAATTTCTGCATCATTTTAAATATTTTAATTGGTAGCAAAATAATCTTGTCAAATCATATAGCAGCTCTGCACTATATCGATATGTTACGGACGCACCACATAAGCAAACTAACCTGCTATCCTAAATGCATATGAATACTACAGTTAATATGCATCTTGCACCAAGGTTGAAATACAAGAACTAAGTTCAGTTCCAATCAGGTATTCGGAGTTTAGGTTAGGTATCTTCAACAGCTTTGTCAAGGTTCAGAGTTTAAGTACAAATTATCAAAGCAAGAACTGCATGAGGGAATAATAATGGAAAGACAAAGAAAGAAAGGAAACATATTGCACCTTCTTATGTATGTTGCCTAAACTAGAATCTACAGATTCAGTTGTTTTATTCTAATAAAGAAATGTATCTAATAAAATGTATGTCAAAGCTACCATCTCTTTAAAGTTTAAACAATCTACTACTGAGACCAAGCATATGCAACAAAGAAAAATAATGGTCTTGATGCATGGTTACGTCTAGTAACTTAAGATTCCCCTTAGCGTGTGCCACACCTAACTAGAAAGAACCACAATGATCCCCAACGGATGGAGTAAATCGCAATCTGTGTTGGTCAGGGCTGACCAGATTCGCATAATTCTCAACTAAATCAACAGAAAATGGTGAAACCAATCTCGAGTTGAACACGAATACCAGCTGAAGAGCTCGCTAACTATTGTCAATCTTGTCTGTCTTCAGAAAGCCCTTCAGTAAAGTTATAATTAACATGTTCCGGTTAACAAGAAATCTTTTTTTTCATTTGAGGGAAAACAAAAGAAACATACTCGCCTTGCTAACTTTTTTCCTCCGCGACCGTACACAAAAGAGGTCCATAGGCATGAAAATCCACAAAGACAAATCGACAAGAAGACTTATTATGCTGATACGGATTATAGTTCATTCGAGATGATTATTTTAGGAGATAAGTGTAGCCGAATCACAAGCAAAAGGAAACTAGCACCCGGCGACAGAATCAATACTGCTTTTCTCCTTGAGCCTACCTTTCCTCGGGGAATTGATCACCGCCAAGATGGAGAACGTTTGAGATTATACCCCAGGGAGTCGAAACCCAAGAAAGAAGAGAGGCTAAATACCGAAATAAATTGTATATTGTTCGGTCCTAATTCAATAAATTCCAAGAAAGCGCAAAAAGAGGAAAGATCTTCTTGGTCAAGAGAACTAGAAGGATTCAAATGACTGGATACCCCAAACCAAAATAAAACCAGATCTATCAAGATTCGGCAGCTAACTCCTGGTCGCCATACTAAATAAGCCCGCAAGGCCCAGGATCTTCGAATTCAGCAATGATACCAGCAAAGAAATTGGCAACAGAAAGAAAAAACAAGAAGTGAGAACTTAGGAATCGGCACCTGGAAACCAGGCGATGGTCTCCCCAGAGGAGATGATTCGCGATCCAGAACGACCAATCGAGAACTCGCTTTCAAGATTTAGGCTCCCAAATCGATCAACCAAACCGGAGGAACCAATAAATAAAAAAAATCCAGAAGAAATCGAGGACAAAACCACAGTGTCGAGGGAAGGGGGTTTAGAAGTCGACGGAAGCCGAAGGGTTATCCCAAACCGAAAGGGATCACCACATAATAATCTTACGGTCCAGCCTGATAGATCAAGGCCCGGTCCGGAATCGCGGACTGATAATTCAGACCCAAGGAGGACCGGACCGGACCGAACCGGGTAAAAACTTTAAAGCGGCACAAAAATTAAAGCTTTAGGCATAGGTTTTCAATTAGAAAGACTGGGATTTCTTGGGACCTTTACCTCCATTGCAACGGCTGTGCCGAATACAAAGGAGTAATCAACCCCATAGTCTTTTTGATAGATTATGTTTGTGACACATGTGAAGCAATTCTAGTAGCTCCGGCGATGTATCTCTCAAATGCTAAACCTAGAACCTGACATGGTATCTCCTACCGACCACACACCAAAGACATATCCTCGTCAACAAGTATTAGACCTTCGAGAGTACAACCTGGTGACAAGATATAGGAAGGGAGGTTGAAAGGATTAACTTAATACAAGATGCCCATTTTTTTTTTTTGCTCTCTAGAGAATATCCTGCCTGTTTTCTCAAAATACGAAACACACTAGTAGAAATAATAGAAAGAAAAAAAAAAAAAAAACAACTCCTTAAGATGGTACCAAGAGACTGGCAGCAGAGTTAAAGCGATCGCAACAACTGCAAAAGTCACTCATGGATGCACACACAAGTACATTATTTGTCTAAACTTCTGAACATAGGTTTTATTAATAACAATGTGTGGTAAATATGAACTATATACATATCATATACTTGCTCTTGCATCTATTCTGTTTATATTTCCTGATACGGGGGATTATAGATATAGTGGATATAGAATATGCGCCCATGGGCTGTCTCAACAAAGCTCAACAGCATTTTTAGAGATGCTTCCCCGAAGATCCAGAGAGAGAGAGAGAGAGAGTTTAACAGTGCCAGAACACAAGATCGTCCCTGCATCTTCCAGAACACAGTCTGGCATTAGAGGCAATAAGTTAATCTCGCCAATGCAGGAATCAGAATAGCTGGAAGAACAAGGTCGTCGAACCATCACTAAATGACCTCAGCCCTGCCGGCTTAACCAGAACTCTGCACAATGGGCATGTCCTTTCTCTTTCAAACCTGAAAAGTTTAATGGTGGGTCATGAATAAGCAAATTCAAGACAATTCCTACTCAAACAGACAGACATGAAACCTGGAGATATAAAAGATAATTGCGGAAAACTAAACTGTATAATCAAGATCACACACAAGAAGGAATTTGGGCAACTTGTTCCTCCAAGGCAGGCAAAGTGGTGACAATTTAAAACAACCCAAAATACTACGGGAAATATTAGTGGGAGAATCTTTATGTAGTCCAAATAATTTTTCCTTTTATTTGGACACTCCATGTATTTTTTAAGTAGAGCCACGTATTAGATCACAGCCAACAGATGACAATTAGATCTTAGAAGTATTGCTGTTTCCAACATCCTATAAGACTGCTTGTAAAAAAATCCTAAAAACAAAGAAAAGCAAACAAAACTGAAAATGATGAGGTGAATAGACACGTTACCATTCAGAGACACAGTCTTCACAGAATATGTGTTTACAACGAAGTAGAATAGGAACATTCATCTTCTCTTGGCAAATGGCACACAGATCACCAGCTGCAATTACCTGAATTTTTTACATAACAAGTAAATCAAGCATCACATTGTCACAAAGGCACCATTGATTTTGTTTTGGCTTCAATGCCAGCAGAGCTGATTTACAATTGCAGATTGTTCTTGCAACAAAAGTAATTGCAGAAATGAATATGATACCCTGAAGTTTGGCCACTCTAGATAGGAAATAAAGTATCTTCTGCTAGTATTTCAAAAGCACTCTCTCAAGAATCATTCTTTTTACAAGCATGAAATCAAATATAAATGTGCAAATTCAAATTTTCACTAAAAAGAAGGTGCACGTAGTTAACCTAATTCTGATATCAATATAAGAGCTTAATTGAATTTCTTTCCTTAATATTTGCAACACTAAGCAGAGATTAAAGACCATATTTATCAGATACATAATTAAGCTCATAACTGCAGAAGCATTCGTTAGGTCTCTTAATGGCAAAAACTATGCTAGTTGAATACTTAAATCATTGGAGAGATGTACACAATGTTAGGGACATCCTCCAAGTACAATAAATAATTGTTACAAGTGACTTTCTCAGACTAACACAAGTCACAAGCTATTTCATTATGATTTAACAGGAAATATGCCACCCAACTTCAGGACATGACCCAATCCTTGAAAGAATATAAAATCAATAATGTCCCATATCTGACCAAAAGATCTAGCTAGAAGTTAGATTTCAGATTCCTTGATTCATACAAGAACCTAGATTTTCTAATGGAAATCTCACGGATAACATTAAAAAAAAAGTTCTCATCACAACCATGGGAATTAACAACGGTCATCCTCATATAAACCACAAAGTTGCCCAACAGTAAGCCCTAGTACAATGACGTTAGGGTTGAATGATCATGGGTTAGCTTCAGTTGGCCTTGTAGGCTTGCACCTAGTTATACAAGACAGGTTGGACTCAAATGCCATTTTGGCAATCCAGAACCTGAACTAAAACTTGAGTAAAGGTTATTATTTGGGCTTCCTAAGTCTTTATCTGTGTATGACATATGCCAAATTCAGGTTACAAATTTTGATGGTTAAACATGTAACAGCCAAGATTTCTTTATCACCAAGGGCAGCTATCCAGAAGGTGAGGTGCTGCTAGCTTACTGGTAAAGAGATCGTTGCATGGTCTTTGGGATCGAATCCAGCCTCCGCCACTCACCCTTTGCGATAAAGAGCAGACATCCATACCAGAACAAAGAATACGAAGTAGAATGCCTCAATGCCCCGCATATTGTTGGTGTTTGAGTTGATTAAAATATAGTAAATTGAATGGGACATATTTTAGCACAGTTTAAGAATTATGAAATCATTTTCAGACTTTCTATCAGATATAAAGCTGCTGTTCTGATCCAAAAGTGTTAAGTGAGGACTATTGCTAACGTCACAGTTTATGCTAGCAATAACTGCATGCACAATTTCAGGCAATTCACTTATGTCCTTTGTCTAGGCTAGTAGCTAGGAACCAGCAGTGGGATCTACATGAGGTGAATATGCATCCCTTTTCCCTATTCCAACACTTCCATGGAGCTCAGTCATTACTTTTCTTCCCAATTCTACATAAAGTAAGATTTTATGTTATTCTATATCCAACCTCAGAGTGATGAGAGAAACTTAATATTATAAAGATGACTTATGTTAAAGAATCATGATATCAGATGATCATTCTTTTGTCATTACACATGTTTAAAGTAGCTAAATAATACAAAGATAAAAAAAAAAATAGTCCTCGATGATGGAAATGATCAAATTAAATAACTAAATAACAGGGATCTAGAAGCGAAGCTATTGTAAGACAGCCAAGGATTGGAAATGAAGGCATGGCAATATATGTCACCAAATTTAATACATAAGCTATCGGTATATGAATTTGAGCAAAAAAGTACAATACAATTTGGTGAATTGCAGACATATGAATAATCAATTATCAAAAGTTCAGCAATAACAAATTGTGGCAAAGGTCTCTATCGGTGTTGCATGTAATTAAATATATATTAGACAGCGAAAATACATCTTAACTAAGGCTAAAGCTGTAAATCATTTGACAAAGAATGATATTCAACTACAGTAAGCCTAAGAAATAAAATATTGAAACAAAGAATGATAAACAACGACATTAAGCCTAAGATATAAAAGATTGAAATGATCAAGAGTTCACCTGTTCAGACGTTGCATAAGACCCATAATGTACTTCTTTACGTGATAGTGCCTTCAATGCAGCAAAAAATGATTGAACCTGAAATCAGAGAGTTGGAAATATCAAAGAAGATACATGTTTTTTGTGGAAATGTAGTTTGTTCTGTCAAGCTGAAAAGTTCAGCTTGATGAGCACTTTCAAGATCAATATAACAAGTACCAGAAACTAGCATTCAATAAAGTATACCACACCTGCTCTACAACTGATGTCAGCTTGAAAGTAAGATACAGTCCAGTAGTAAGAGATGAAAACAGGCTCCCATATTCCTTGTTCAGGAAGAATCGGTACCAAACAGCAGTTGGCAATAAAGAGCGGTATAAAAGTAGAAAGTACTCTACAAGAGTTAGCATTTGACCCTAATAAAGAGAACAAAGAAAGGAAATGTGAATTAACAGAAGCTGAAACTTTCCAAAAGTCAAATATTTTAAGTACAATAAATGTGAATCATTATACAAACAAGAAAAAACCAAAACATAAAATTGGCTTTATGCAATACTATGAATTTCATTGTCCATCTATTGGAAGTTGCAATGTATAAGATGTCACGAGTTTGAATGAAAAATAAGCGTTGACAATGAACAGATACAGAATTCCAAAAGAATAATGAAGTTAGGACTATTGCTAACATAATAAAGAACAGCTAATAAGGTAACTAAATACATTTAGAGAATTAGCATTACTAACTTCACCAACTTATCAAATTAAGTGGAAAGAAACAATGCATACCAAATTTTTGAGTGGCAAATATGCAAGCTGGAAATAATTTCACTAGAAAGCAAAGAGGAATTTTAATTTCACTAGAAATCAACTGTGATTTGATTATAATTATATAAAATCTACAACATCTAATAAGATTTCAGCTTTGCAGCAGTCTTCCCAATGCAATGACAAACCTGAAAACTAATTGAACTCATGGGGATAGTCAACAAGAGGATTAGTACAAGAATCATCATATCAACAAGCATATTTGACCAGTCTTCGGACAAATCAAAAAGCAACCATCTTAGGAAAGACAAACTCAACACTTGAAATGATAACTGAAAAAACCTACAGTTTTAGAACCTATAAAAAGAGGAGAGTAAAAGCAGGAAATGGGAGGGGAGAAACAGAAGCTGTCCTTTGAAAGGTCAGAAGCCTTGAACATCACTATTTGGTAAATATTCAGAAAACTAATGATATTTTCATCCAGCCATAGAGACCTCCAATTTAATTGGAAAATCAAGACCATCTTAGCTTCACTAAAACAGATGGGTCTTTGAGATCACCAGTTAAAAGTTCATATATCATGATAACTACCTAAAAATTTTCTTGATGTGCAGAACAAATTCACTTTCAAGCTAGTGCTAGCTACTAGATATGTGTAAATGTACATGGTAAAACGATTACTTTCTAATGCAATACCAACTAGGTATTTATATCTGTTACTAATTACATTGTTAGCCATCTAAATATTGAAGGATAATTGATATAAAAAGGACATGTAATTATTAAACAGTCATATAACAGAAACATGAAAAAAAGGCTTACCTGCTTACGATAGCTACGGCCTTTAAAGTTTTTGTAGTATATCAAGAGAATACACTTCACAACCATAGCTGCTTGGCGCATCACTACATCTGGACAGTAATACTCAGTGAGCAAGTTGTGAAGGAAATTCTTCATGACCTAATAAATACAGGAAATATCTAAAACTAGACTAAGACATAGTTTTAAAGGAGAATATATTTGGAAAGCAATAAACCTATGACTCATTCAATTTAGACAAATAAAACATGCTTAATACTAGCAATCCATAATGATGAAGTGTCAAGTCTTTGCTTATATATGTTTATATTCCTAAATGGAGGCCAATGAATATGTGTTTAAATGATTCTGACAAGATTAACAATTCCTGATGGAATGTTCCGAACATGTACCAAGCAATCAACCACGTCAAACGGAATTGTTTGCGACAGAAATTTATGCATTGCATCAAGAAATAACTCATCTCATAGACTTCCTAATAATGAATCTTTGATGGGAATAGCAGCAAAGAAAGTTTGTAGATACAGACAAGAAAAAATCATTCCACAAGACACAAGTGGATTAATCTTAGTCCAAATGACATTATATCCTCCATACAAGTTTCCCCTCTTTAAAATATGAGAGCATTGTTATTAAACTTGGACCTCAAGTTTAATAAATTTTGGAGGAAGCACTTGAAAGTATTCTAGTCTTTTTGTTGGACTTTTTTTTGTGAGTGTGTTACCTGCCCCCTCTCTCTAATTGTCCCCTCTATCATCATTTTCCTCTGTCATTTCTGTTAGTGTCCTCTCTCGATCCTTTGTTGTCATCCTCTATTTTCCCTTTTTTTTGTCCTTTATTTAGCTCTCCATCGTTGCTCTTTTCACCATCGCCCTTTTCATGGCCACTTTCTATCTTTTGGTCATCGATTTTCTTGAATTCATTTATAACTTGCAGTCCGACCACTTCACTTACTGGTCCAACCAGTGAATCAATAACCTGATGCTTAGCATGGATGATGTTCGAACCGATCTCATAATTAGGTCCTCTAGTCTAAAGATTGACAAAGGACTCTTTTTGTAGAAATTGATCAAAACTGAGTAAAAAGGTTAAGCTTCATTTTTCTTGTAGATGCATATACCAATTTTAGGAACATGAAATACAAAGATTACCAGTTTCCTGTTAAAAAATTGTGATTAATCTTTTAATAAGCACTCGACAAAGGGCTACCCATAAATACACCCATGATTGGATCAATTATTGCCATACTTCCAATTGGATCATATATTAGTACACCTTGCAATTCAAAATTATCTACTTGAATACCACCTTAATTTCTTGTCACATAGCACTTTAAGTCTCAAACAAACAAAAATCATTTAGATGTACTGTACGGGGACACTTTGGGACATTATAGGTGGCTTTTGTTGTTGAGTTGATGAGAATTGATTATCACTGCTGCATGATATGTTAGTGTTTGTGCATTCCAGCTCCACATTGACATGATACAACCACCACCAAGTTGCGAAATCATTCCCCTGATATTTCAGCATGACATAGTCAAGATGAAGTTAAGCAGCCAAGAAAAGAACTAAGCAAAACACACTAGCACAAGGAGAGGAGACAAGAAAATCCTAGATACTGCTAAACTAGAGAAATACAAAGATATAGGCTTGAATCTTGATCAATCCATTTGCAACACTACTTATGAAAGGAAGATTGGGAACCAGCTATGGCACTGTAAGGTAAATAAAAATGAAAAGATATGTGAACATAAAAATCACTAACTTCCTTCAGATTATTTTTTCAAGGAGTAGACAAAAATCCATATAGTATAAACTATAAAGAGGACACAGTTGGATAGTGAATTACATTTTCATAGAACCATATAAGTTAGAATAGCAGCATCCACTTCCCATGTGCAAGACAAGAGAACAATTAAATTTGACAAATAATGAACTAGAGGAGTCTTCACAGCTGGAGAAATATCACTAAACATACCAAAGCTGTACAAAGATTTAGGTTATAGACGAGACTAAATATCTCAATGTATAATAAGCAGGTTCAAACAAAACAGAATACCAAGAGAAGATTACTCTCAGCAAAGTGGATAGTGGATACCATTAACCAATATAATAAATACGGCATGCCAAAATCGTGGTATTTCTTTTGGAGGAAGCATAATTAGTGGATACAAGAGATCATCGTTCCTGTACCACCAGTAGATGCCAAATACGTGTACCATGCAGACCAGTATAATTCCAACAATCACAGATATTTTTCGCTCTCCCTGCAAAGACAACAACCAGTAGAAGTGTGACTGATCCGATTATTAGTAGATGCCATTAGCCTACCAATACTTGAATATATTCCTTGAACACCAACATCACTGAAAGGTTGACTTTATTAATCTTCACGCATGCTGAATTTTAGAAGTACTGGTCTTAAATGATTACCTAATAGCTACGTCAATTCAGTCATCTAACAAGGAAATCTGCAACAGTAAGCTTTAACAATGCAGAAATTAACAGTTTCCTCATTAGCACATCATATTGTTCCCATCTTATCGGCTATATGCTATAGTCTAGTGTTGTTGAAAACAAAACTTAATAAATTACACTGTTTATGAGGACAACATGTTATCAGTCATGTTTAAAAGGTGAAGCACAAAATCATGATGTTCGAAAGGAAGAGTTGTTTGATAAGGGCTCTCCTTGGTGAAATTTTACTGAAGCAATTCACATAACTAAACATTTGTTGGGTTCACATTCACCCCAAAAATTCAACCTAACCTAGTTGGGACTTGGGAGAAGGGTCAGAAGTGTTGGCACCAAAATTAAGACAGCATACTTGAAGACATATGAATCAGTATTAATATACATATCTCGTCAGTGTAAACATCCTCTCAGCATTACCTACATATGTTTCCAGCAATGTGAGAAATCTGATCACGAACAGAAGTACATGGGAAACATAGGGAGACTAGTCAATAAGCAACAAGAAAAAGAAATCATGGGAAAAATGCCATACAATTATGAAGATCAGTACAAATACACAGAGAAGTTTTCACAAATGTCTCAACATAATGCTGAAAAGAAAATTACACTGTGAATTGTGTATAGGATAAAAAAAGTTGTTGTGTAGAGAAGTAACAAACCTTTAAAGCAGTCTGTTTTCTCAAAACAGCATTGGACTTAAACATCACTGCTGAGATCCAAATAGTGACCAAGAAACCTGTAGTTTTCAAGAAAATTAACATTCAAAAGTCAGGTAATAAGTGAACAAGCCAATTTGTATCCAGTGATCCAGAAGCATAGAAAATTAGGTCCATAATGACAGCTACTCCAACAAAAGTACAATACAAATATAAAGAGAAACAAAAAAAAAAGTTATACAAATCAAATCAATAATGACATTCTTAAAAATGACACTGCCTATAAGCCATGAACATGTTCCACATCAATAATCAAAAAGCGCACAATTGGAAGAAATAACAAAGCAAAACAAACAAAAGCACTTCTAGAACTTGTCATAGAGCAGTGTTTACATGTAACACACAACTGCAAAGGAAACAACAGCATAAGTTTTAAGCAAACACTACAGCATAATAAACACACAAAATGCTATCTTGGAAGGAAAAGGATGCAAACATGTATATTGCAAATTTTGAGACGATAAAACCGAGGCATCAGCAAAATGATCATAATTCGAGCATCTCCATCAGACAATTCTCAAAGTTTCTCAACAACACTAACGAAATAACAGATGCGAACATCCTTACCCTGCAAATGCTGTCTGATAAAGACTACCAAAAGAAGCAACGAGAATGGCAGTATCTGCTCGATCCATTTAGCGATCCGTTGTATATCATATCTCTGATACGACGAATCCCTGTTGTTACCTGTCATGTTCACATCACCATCTGCGCTGTGGCCGCCAAATGCGGAGTCAGATGTCGGCACAGAAGAAGACGGCGAGGCCCCCTCTCCAACCCCATTATCACTTACTCCATCTCCTCCCTGCCTCTCGGATGAAGCAGCGATCAGCTCACCAGGGACAACAACACCAGAATTCACCTCTCCACCGGGACCCAGAGTCGAACGATGCAGCTGGCTCGACGCCACCCGGAGGCTCTCCTGATCGCCAGCCCCCACTATCCTTATCGACACCTCCCCACCGCCGCCGGTGGGGGACGTGGAAGACTCGTCCACCCGGGCAGGACCAACCTCTGGCAGCGGTAATCCCCCGCCGATCAATCTCTCGCTTTCCGATTGGCTCGCTTCGGGCCGCAAGATCCCGGAGTACTCCAGGAGCGCCGACAACGGTGCCTGGATGAGATTAGACGCCGAGTAAGGGATAACGTACCTCCTCGAAGAGCCGCCTCCGGCACTACCGGAGGAAGGGGTCCTGTAAGGATCAGAACCTCCGCTGGGGGTATCCATCACCTGGGAACCGAATCGGACCAAGAAAACCTCAGAAAGTGCGTTGAGAAACGGTGATCGATGTCTAGAAGGATCCTTGTCGGAAATTATGGGAGAGAGCCGGGGCTGGAGCAATGTAGGAGGGATCTCTTGCGGGGAATTCAAAAACCCTAATTCGAGGCGTGGGAAAGGGGGAAGGAGGAGGGTTCTTGGAAGGACGAGGAGGAAAACAGGAGGACGAAGCAAGAGAGGGTAGGAAGGAAGGCCGCGTCAAATAAATAGGGTCTCTTCTATTCCCTCCCTGTTTGGTGTCTCAGTCCGCGTAGTTGTTACACGCCGTGCCATTACCATGTCGTACTGAAGCACCCGGAGTGCCTTTCAGGGGTGATGTCATCCATCTCCGACGCACCAATGGCGTTGCTACTGTTCGTCCTGCCCTGTCGCCCATGAACTGCCATTTCGCTGAGCCGTCCCGAGTCACCCATGGAATATTCCATGGGTTACGTCATCGCTGACGCATCCAAGGCGTTGTTATTGTTCGTCGTCCCCGGCCATCAATGAACTGCGGTTTCACTGGTCGTACTCAGTCACCCCTGGAATCGTACATGGGTGATATAACCTCTGATGCATCCAAGAACTGAGGGGTAGTACTTCTGCCAGCAATATCGTCCAGGGGTGACGGAGTCTGTCTTCGTCGAACAAAGTTACAGCTGAACAAGATTGTGTTATACAGGGCATTTTTACTGCTTCAATGTTTTAAGGTGGATGAAGACTTGAATAAGAGTTTAACCAGTACAGGGACGAAGCAGGCTTCACTGTGCATGGGGGGTGACCACCCGCTGGTCCTGCAGTTGCCTCACTGCGGCCACTTCACGTACCTGTTGCTACACTTAATAGCGTAAACCTAAATTTATTGATGAGTTATGGACGACACAGCATCAAATATGGCACCCGTATAACCACCACGTGCAAGACAAATCCATCAAACGTCGCACCAGCAATACATGAGCATCATTAGGGATGAAGACAAATCAATCATAGTATCTGAAAAGCTTAACCATTTCGAGTTTAAAAAAATAGGCCATATGTAATCCAAAAATGAGACCTCTATCAAACAGTAAATAAATAATTGAAAATAAAGAAAGATTCAACCAACACATTAAAATGACGTCAGTCACAAAATTAAGTCAACTTTTTACCAGTGATGTTCCACCGACACCTTCTAGCAGAGTTTTTACCTTAAACTGACAGAGAAGCTACGCTTGGTGATACAGGTCTTGAAAACAGAGAATAACTGAACCAGGATAAGATCAACAAGGGGGTAATTGGTGATCCGCGACGTCAATGAACGAAAACACACAAACAAGAGCAACAATGATCAAGTTAAACTGCCAAATGAAAAGAGTTTTCATATGCCCCAGAGTCATACTGACAACAAAAACAAGCAGAAATATCCTTGCAAAATTAACTGAAAATGACAGTCTTTAAAACAGAAAGCAACTAACAATGCTTGCATAATATTCCAGCAAATGATTCTAAGAAGTTTCCGCAACTGCAGCTGGTAAGAAAGCCTTTCCAGGACGGCGAGCAGCAAGTGGACCATGGCATCCAAGTAACTGCACAACCAGACATCTCGTTAACAGATTGCTTTATAAACGGCAGATGATGAAATAATTTCTCAGATAATAAATATCTGATGTAATTTCCTATCATTATGGAATACTGGAAAAATAATAAGATGCCAATTCTACCCATGGAGAAGGATAGGGACTAACATGATGGGCAGGAATAATTTCTCTTAATGACAATTCAAGACACATAAGGAGGAAAAATAAAACAAAGCCAATATGACAAAAAAAAAATTGGTTTGACAAAGCCACAATCCTTTTAAGGTAAAAGATCATCAGCTCTGGTTCAAATATCTTCCTTCCTTTTCCTACACAAGCATAAAAAAGGCACATATATAGGTACCATTGGATAGTCTACCACAAATAACATGGAGAAGGTGGAACAAGTAAATCTAAAGACCTAAACTGTTATGACAAAGGATAAAAATTAGGATTGGTGCATTTCATGATCTGTACAATGGCATGGAGTAGCCCAGCCAACCGCATGTAAATTGGGTGTGACTACCGAATGTCCCCTTTTTTGTGTCTTAAGTAATATGGTTAAGAATAAAAAAAGTTGCTGGCAAGGCAAGTCTGTTGTGAGGGTGTCACCAAATACTTTCATCCACCCAATTTATACCTCCACAATTTCAGATGAAACAGTACTTACCTTAGCATTGACACCATCTGGGGCAATTCTGTTCTCACTCTTCCACTTCAAATAGTCAGCACGACTAAACTTAGTGAAGCCCCTGAAAATTAATTTGTTGAATCAGAACCGATAGAAGAACATAGGAGACGGATCTCCAATGACTACACAATAGCCCAAACATTATGCTCCTTAGCATCTCCTAACCAGAGATAAAAGGCTAAATCTTTGTTTGAGAAGACCTATAGTGACAATGAATTTAGAAAATAACAATAATGCTGGATGCATTAGCATTAGCAATTTAAAGCGGATAGAAAGTTTCCTTTTGTGAGGCTTACCACTTTCCACTGATGATAATCTTTTGACGGCCAGGGAACTTGAACTTCGCACGTCGTAGGGCCTCTTGGGCATTATTGCTATTGTTATCTTTGCAACGAACAGAGAGGAGGACTTGACCAATGCTTACCCTAGCACACGTCCCTTGAGGCTTCCCAAAGGCCCCCCTCATCCCAGTCTGGAGCCTATCAGCTCCAGCGCAAGAAAGCATCTTGTTGATACGTAAAACATGGAATGGATGCACTCTCACTCGTAGGTGGAAAGCATCCTTTCCAGCAAACTTTGTCATATATTTGTTACATGCAATACGAGCAGCCTCAAGAGCCTCGCTGGAAACATTTTCCTTTTCCCAGCTCACCAAGTGAACACAGAAGGGAAATTCATCCACTCCTTTCTTCTTCATTCCAACATCGTAGATCCTAATCTTAGGATCGGGAACACCACGGCAGTACCGAGATTTCGGGTATGGTTTGTTCTTAATCTGACGATAGCATCTTGCAGGTCCTGCATGAGGAATAAAAAAATTAAAATTTTCATTCGAACCCTAACGATGAGAATTAACAATTGCATAATTGATGAATAATTTTTGGAAAATCAGAAAAGGAAAAAAAATACGATCATCAGATACCAAAACTCATCTCAAGATTTACTCTATCCAAAGGGAAAGCATATTGGATCTACCTCTTCAAGTGAATGCATTTACTATGTGCAAATTTGAATAAAGGATAGGGATAATAGCCAGTAACTAATAAGAAATTCCATTGGGGATGAAGTATATCATTTTAAAACTAAAAACTTCATGAACAAAATTACTAAAGTGCATATTGCAAACTCTTTTTTTTTTAATGGACCCCTGCTTTCTCCTCAAACTTCTTGTTAAGTAGACCCCAATAAGTGAAAAATATTATCATACGGATCACACATATGGCCTTGTAAATTTCAAAAGTCACAACAAAATGAACAAACAACTTTAACCACAGAGGGCAATCTATACCTAGTTAATTCCAGTTGCAACATGTCCTGTAGATTTCAAAAGTTGTTTCTTTTACAATCATATACATAAGTATCATTGCAGACTGGTTGGCTAGTTATGCTGGCAGACTAGCCGTCTTACTCGTCTTACCAGAATACAAACTCTTTTTTAAATGGCAGCTAGAGACTAATTCAATATGGGGTTGGCATGCAGGGCCCCTGGTCCTCTCCTTAAACTTCTTGTTAAGTAAACCCCGATAAGTGAAAAGTAATGACATACAGATAACACATATGGCCCTCATCGACAAAATGAACAAGCAACTTAACCACATAGGGAAATCCATACCTAGTTAATTCCAGTTGCAACATGTCCTATAAATTCAAAGTTGTTTCCTTGACAAACATATACAGGAGTATCATTGCAGACGGTTTGGCTAGTTATGCTGGCAGACACCATCGGCGTTACTCATCTTACCAGGACAAGCCTATTGGGGTTCTTCATCTCTGCAACAGGAACTTGGGATACCCACCGAAAAGAAAACTACTCTACACTTGTGGTGATTCAAATTGTAACGAATTCATGCTCTCTACCAACCCTTCGAAGCTACAAACTAGCTTATAATTTATCTCAAGCCTATGAAGTTTGAAACTAATTATAGACATATTCCAAGTACCCTTATTCTTTTGGCACGAAGTGCTGCACAAGCTTGCGACTTGTACAAACAACCATTTGACATATAAATAGGATTGATCTAAAACAAAGAATACAAATGCATCTAATCCTCGTATGTTAGCCTTTGAGGTGGCCTACCGTGGTGGATCGAGACCATGGGATGTCAACACATCCATTGTTTCATCCAAAGTATAGACATCTAATTACGGCATACGTTCTCATCGTAATAGCTCAATACAAACAACGAATCAAACTTATGTCCGCATGATCCCATCGCACGCAAAGTAAAGAATCGCCCACTAAAATCGAATCTCTGCCGGAACGGAAGGGGGAACAATGCTTCATGTCAAGCAAAACTCATCGGATCCGACCAAAACCATAAGAGAAACAATAAACCCGACGTCAATCGAACTAGCACGAGAAAAGTGAGGAATAAAGCTAGGATAATCGAGCAACTCACGCCTCCCCATGGCTGAAACGAAGGCAGAAGACGATACCTACGCCGCAAATCGCAGAGGAGCCAGAAGGGTGCCGGTTCATTTATACCGAGCGACGTGGAGTGGGATTCCAAAGTAGAAACCCTAAGAATTAAATGGGCTCGTGGGCCGAATGCGGGCTCCGATGCCGGTCACTTTGACGACCTAACTTGGGCTTGTATTGTTGGAGGCTCAATTCTTGAGATACACGTTGTAGGATGCCATGCCAGCATCATGCCGTGGGCCATCTTGTGGGTATAATGCTGTCTATAACTTAAATATGAATGGTTGATGTGGCGCCTCGCTATTGGCTGATTCGTATCTGATAGATATGCATGTTGATTTTTTTTCAAAAAATGAATAAAATCATATGTTGTAGCCTAAAAAGGGATTTGTAAGTGTAAATAAATGTATATTATTAAACTAGTATTATGTAAATAAATGTATACAAGGATATTTTAAACCTATGCCATTATTTATAAGATAATATTTTAAATTCTTAACATATAATGAATAAATATGGTACATATTAATGCATATTTAGTTTTATACCGATATCAATTTGGAGTTGATCGATGTATAATTTTATTTTTATTTTTTTATTAACAAAATAATAATAAATCCTCGTCTCATCCTACATTGGATGGTGTACTAAGATAAAGCCCATACATAGTCTTAGATATGAGATGTCCGCTCCTTCAAAATAGAACGTATAAAACATAAGAATATAAAAATTATAATATAACTTGAGATTATCGTGCACAAAGATACACATTAATATTAGGAATCATATTTTTCTGATATACCAAATGCGAAGAAAGTATAATAATTATAATCATAAATATGATTTATTAATATTCAAATAATGGTGTCATATTAATCATGCGATATAGAAATATCTTAAAACATGAGTTGTGCTTTGAATAGATAACTAATCAAGTAGTTTAATTTTACCTTTGAGTAGGAAAAGATGTAAAATATTTCATCATTCGTACAGCTCGTATTTTTAGAATTGGAAGGCTAATTAAAAATGCATCGACTTATATTTTTAAACCATAAAACATCGCAAAAGAATAAACTGTATAATACAATCGAAAAACAAAGTCAAAGTCATACTTTGGAAGTGACAAAGAAATTAACAACTTATGTTTTAGAACATTAAAATAATTAAAATCATACCATCGAAGGCACACTTTAACATAAATCAACATAATATGATCATCATAGCTCGGAGACAAAAATTATTTTAGTTTACATTTTGATTTAGGGAGCAAAAATAGTAAGAAAATGTTCATAATGTGGGCTTTTACATGTGATTATTTTCATGTTAAAGTAAAAAAAGAACCCATGGATAGAACACCTTTTGACCTCAACGTAGCTTAACTTTAGGAGGCAAGTGGGTCATTCAATGCCTCACATACCATCATTATTTCAGCTTTAATTCGAATCCTTTGCTTCGTGATCTTACTACTCATCGATCCTATCAGTCTCATCTCATAGCATACGAAGTCAACGAAGAAAAAGAATCGGACAAACATATGTTAGAAACAAAAGCACGCTAAAAACGTATGACGTTTCGTGGCCATGATTTGACATGTCGTACGCATGGGATCCGGATGACGAGCGATACTCTGTAACCCACCCGCCTCGTTATTGGGGGATAGCCGTGGACCCCAGCTTCGGTACCGCCAGCTCCACGTGTCCACGACTCGTAAAGGGTGGAGTCGTGTAGGTCGTCATAAGTCAGAGGCTCGCAGCCGCGCTAATTGGCACGGACGGGAACGTTTTACCAGCCGTCGGATGCGGGCCCCACCTTCCCGTTTCCTCCCGCCTCGTGATTGGAGGACACCGGCGGGGACCGCTTCTGCCACCAATCGAGCGTGTCGGTTACGCTTTCGGGTGGCGAACCTACGGGTTCAAAAAAGTCGGGAGGCTCCAGCCGCGCTAATTGGCACGGCCGGGAACCTTTGCCTGCCCAACGAGGAGATCCGATGCGGGCCCCACTTTCTTCTCCAAGCCACCTCGTGGTTCGAGGATATCGACGGGGCCCACCTCGGGTACCTGGGAGCTTTGTCGGTTAAACGTACGGGTAATTCGGAGGCTCCCGTACGTGCTAATTCGCACGGGCGATACTCGTTACTTGGCCCGACGAGGAGACCACGATGCGGGCCCCGCCTCTTCTTATCCAACCACGATGCAGGTATCAGTGTTTGTTCAAACGCTTGCTCTTCGATTAGTATTACTCGTCTTATTACTGTTGTAATTACCATAACGATCACTATAAGTAAATAGCCGTTACCCACTTTCGCCTTCCCTTCGAATTCAAATCCCTCTCTCTTGCTCCGCGGCCCAAACCGATCCCCCATGCTGTCGCCGGCCGAAGCAGCAGCTCCGCCTCGCCGGATGCCCCTCCAGCCGAAGAACTTCGATTTCATCCCGTCCGTCTGGATCCATCCGAAGCCCAAACCGATCGCATTCCGGTGCCCGCCCTCGACCGGAAGGCGGGCGGGTAAGGAGAGCCGCCCCATCTCGTCCCCGGAGCTGGGAACGATGGCTGGGCTGCGGGACGCGTCGCTGTCGGAGGAGCTGGCGGCTGCCCGGCTGAGGCGGGAGCGGCTCCGGGCGGAGAGGGTGCGGACGGAGGAGGCGCTGCGGGAGCGGAACGCGGCGATGCGGAGGTGGGCGGTGGAGCTGGAGAAGTGGGCCGAGGAGCAGCGGAACTTGGAGCTGGAGCTCCGCCTCTTGATCGAGCTTCGGGATTTGCAATCCTCCTCTACGGTGAGACAGACATAGCTCATCTCCATCGGGAAAAGAAGAGTTCTTGATCAGTACTTATCTTGTGCTTAAAGTTTTGGTTGCAGATTTCGTCTCCAGTTCAATCTCTGAGAGAAAAGGAACAGCAAAGAAGTATGGAGGTGAAGCTGCAGGTATGTGCGCCCAATTGCATACTTTCAGATCACTTCTAGCTTTAATCTGTTGATAGGTTGAGTTGATATATTGACAATGTAAAACTAAAAGAACCGAGGGAATGGTTATAGAATTGTTCTGCTATTGCTGAGTTCTTATTCCTGCTGTTCCACAAAAAAATTCGGTTGTAGATATCACCAGTTCAACCCCTAAGAGAGAAAGAAAAGCAAAAAATTGTGGAAGTGCAGTTGCAGGTAAGAATGCCCGATCATAGTAATACAAGTTCAATGCAAGTATCAGCAGTTTAACATGTTTTTGTTGGCTATGATGAAATGGTAGAAGATTAAAGCTTAAAGAAATGAACTCATTCTCTAGTTAATGCAGCATTTGGTAGAAAAGATGAGAAAGGCTTGGTGTGATTGTTATTGTGTGATACAAACTTTTTTCTTGATACAATGCATGTACTTCACATTGCTACTTATCTGTTACTATTAGTTAGTCACCTAGTTGACATCTTTCGAGTTTTTCCTATGTGCTCTTCCAATTTTGTTCACTTATCTTACTTTCTCTTGACTGAATTTATCGGACATTTTTCCAATCTTCAGTATTCTTCAAGAGTTAAGATTAGTAAGTGCAACAATCTTCACAGACAAGCTGCAATAGGACATTAGGAATTCGTATAGAGTAGCATGAACCTCACAAGGAAGAAGACCATATTATTCTTTTGTGCAGAACATTCACCTTGTAGCAGAGGAGCTGTTATTGTCTTCCCATAGGTCATCGGCAATATGATTACACAACAATTTGAACCAGTTTACCTAAAGATGTTTGGAAGTGGTGCCAACTTACCAAAGATTTTGGATACAAAAAGCTTTTGTTCCTAGTATCTAAGAATTTGTTGGTACAGAATCCTGAAACCATTGGTGAACTGATTTGAGCTGCGCCTTGCATAGAGGCATAAGTTATGTCCATGAAAATTTAATAGATTAGCAGCAAACATTAGACAAAGACCCTATCTGGTACTGGTTTCCACTGAATTGTGTTTTGACTTATGGGTAAACTGAGCAAATGGTATAAATATTATGATTTCAGCTCGATCGATGTAGTCTGTGTTCATGGTTTCACTCAACAATATTGTGTTTTGTTTGAAGCTAATATACAGAAGACCAACAAATTTTCAGACACCTAAATGTTTTCTCCTTTCGTGCAGGGACCCAAAATTGCAGAACAAAATAGTGAAGTTGGAATGCCATCTTCAATCGAGGAAAATGAGACAGAGAAGTAGTGTTTCTTCTCCACTTCAATCTCTCTATCTCTCTCTTGTTTTGTCACATGTAATTTGTGCCTTGAAATGAAGAAAGTCAAATTGCTCGTTTGCATCCCTTTGCCACACACTTGTGTTGCCATCGTGGTCATGTATCAATACTTGTCAGTGATCAGAGCAAGAATCCATAATTGCTCTGATCTGTGACAGCTTTTGCTGAAATTTACAGAAGAATAGTGTTCATGTTTGACATTACTCACTGACCCCTTTGCAAATGATTGACATGTACAGAGAGTTTCTTCGAGAACAACAATTTAAAGGGTTTTTTTTAAGCTTTGATTATGTGTCAAGAAAATATAAGACAATATCAGAATTTTAAGATGTAGAACAATAAATTCAGGAACACAGTGTTGGATATTTAATGAACATATTTATCAGGAAGGGAAAAAAAAAATGATGGTGCATCTAGGCTTTGCTAAGGAAATGATGATGAAAGATGGTCGTAATGGATCCATTGGATGCCAAGAAAGCCATCCGAGAATCAAATACACTGGTGGATAGGATCATGAATCTGATGTTGTATTTCACCATCCATCATCATTGTTACAGTCATCATCATCATCAATATTACTATGGTTGTGATAATAGTCTTTTGGTCAATGATTGCTCTTATTTTTCCAACATCTCCTTGATGGGAACCTCCTCAATCATCCATTTTAATGCTAAAGCTGCTTTCCTCACCTCTCTAATCCTTTCTTAGGTGATCTCATGGCCTTGTGACTGCAGTAAGATCTCTTTAGCCTTTTCTGAAACATGCAGTCATATCTGAAGACCATGACAATTGATTTCATCATCACAGCTTTTTTTATATAGCCGGCGGCATATTATTACAAAACACTACTTGTTTGACTGGTACCATACAATTGCATTCTTTTGCTTTCTTAGTCATCAAAAATTACTGCTCATTTGATTGTCTTGAAACTGAGGGTAAACACTTAAGTACAAAATATAGTTTTTTTTACTTTTCTTTCCAATATTTTATGCCTTGATGGAAATACAAAATCTTGTTGTCAGATCATTAGCATTTCAACTGTCCAAAACACATATTCAGGTTCTACTGTTATTCTAGTTCTGGTTTATTTCTTTGTCTTTAAATGTGTGTGTGTGCAAGAGAGAGAGAGAGAGAGAGAGAGCCATATATATTCACTTCTCTGGGGATACAAATGTAGATGATAGACTAGATGTACAACCAGAAGCTGGGAAGTGAATTCCTCTTTAGAAAAGAGAGAGAGAGAGAGAGAGAGAGAGAGAGAGAGAGAGAGAGAACCATATATATTCACTTCTCTGGGGATACAAATGTAGATGATAGACTAGATGTACAACCAGAAGCTGGGAAGTGAATTCCTCTTTAGAAACATTAAGAAGCTTCATGGTCTTAGGATTCTTAATATATATGACATAAACACGTTCTTCAACTTCTTCCATGCAAAGGGGAGAGTAATCCAATGGCTATTATGGCTGCATCAGTGGCATCGGATCTGTCAGTGGTGAAACATGTGCTCTGCTGCAGCCATGATAGGCTGAGTCGTATAACTTTGGATCCATGGACTGATCGAGTTATCGATGGCATGAAATCCATCACCCATGAAGAAACTGCTGCTGCTGCTGCTGATGCTGTTTCCATTGAAGATGTCAAGCATCTCATTGAGGGACTGTAGCCGGTTGCTGAGCTCCATCGTCTGCGCCCTCAGCACGGAGTTCTCAGCCTGCGCGGCAGCACAGTGCCGCGTGGTGAGGTTCAACACCGAAAGGACGCGGCTGTTCTCCTTCCTCAGCTGGTTCGCCTGCGCCATCAGATCATCCAGGTGCTTCTGCTTCCGTAACCTCGACCGTCTCGCGGACTCACGGTTCGATATCATTCTCTTCCTCTTCTTCTCGTCCATCGCCGCTTGCAGGTCTTCTGATGAACCGGAGCTGTGGAACATGCTGGAGCCAGAGGAAGCCCCACTGGGAGAAGCCATTAGAACTTGGTGTTTTTGAAGAGATCTGTTGGGTTTCCTCTCAAGAAAGACGATGCAAACACGAAAGATGCAGTTATTGATCACGAGACAAAGGCAAGAAGACTAGGAGACTTATATGTAAGAAGGTGGAGATATTGCACTGCTCAGTTTTCGGCACGAAGCTCATGGAAAACATAGAACCAGTAGAGAAAGACCACGGAGAAGGATTGAACAAGATGGCTCATGCGCTGAAGAGTGGGATTTATCATACACTCGGACGGGAGGAGTTCACTTCGGATAGGCAGCATCAATCAGAAACATCAAAAGGTAGAGACGCTGCATGTGACCGGAAGAAGAACAAGGTTTAGTACACAACGCTCAGACCTTGGGACAGAGATAGAAGAGTCGACCTCCCTTTTTTTCTTGGGTGCAAAGCTTGGTGATGATGATTTCTTTGTTCTGAATACAGAATCAGAGTGCCTTGAGAAAATTGGACGGAGCTTTCCTGGTAAATAACAGGAATGAAAGAAAAGTGTCCAACAGGAAGAAAGCAGCCAAAGGAGCTCCCAAAGAGTGAGCTTCTCACAAGAACCAGCGGAAGAACAGCAGCAAGAACTTGGCTTCCAGTGCCGAGTTATGGGCACCAGAAGCAGGAGAAGAACAGGGAGGAAAGCTATGAAAGAGCAACAGAACCTCGGTAGAGCTTAGCGAGGAAGAAGAGAAGAAGGGGAAAAAGGAATTGTAGCAGCCAAAGGAGCTCCCAAAGAGGGAGCTTCACACAAGAACCAGCGGAAGAACAGCAGCAAGAACTTGGCTTCCAGTGCCGAGCTATGGGCACCAGAAGCAGGAGAAGAACAGGGAGGAAAGCTATGACAGAGCAGCAGAACCTCGGCAGAGCTTAGTGAGGAAGAAGAGAAGAAGGGGAAAAGGGAATTGTAGCTTAGCAGAGGGTGGCATTTATGGACGAGAATGGAGCAATAAGAAGAGAAAAATAATGAAAGGAAAGGCGGAGGAGAGAGAGAAAGAGCATTGGAATCTGCTGTGAGTAGTAGTTGTTGGGGGGTGATTCATTGGAAAAGTGGGGTCAGATATGGTATTTCATAAGCATTCAATTCCAGCTGGTGGGCTGAACTGATATCCTCTTCCAGCCTCTACTTTCTCCAAGATTTTTCCAAAGAGGAAAAGAAAAGTTGTTCTTGAATCCTGCCATTGGTAATCCACTGTAGCTGCCGAGTTGAGCTTGAGAAGAGCAATGCCACTCGAAGCTTGATCAATCCCAGATAAAGAAACATCTAAAAGACATTTAATATGTTACCCTAGGAAACACCATTATAGGCATTGAAGGGTAAGCTTTTCTTTAGTGGGCATCTCAGCTGAGGTTACTGTGACATTTCTTCTTTTCATTCAAGAGGATGGTGTCTTTTTCTTTTAGTTCCTTCTTCAATGGTGGAAGAAGTAAGCAGCATCATATAAGAGCACCCATGAATTTAGCTTCTGCTGCACTCTTATAAAGACTGATAAGGAGACAATGGTGACAGTTGAAACTTTGAGAGATGGCATAGGTTGTGTCCCACTTAAATACCCCCTAATTCCATAACTCTGTGGACACAGTGGAGGTTCTCTGGTGTAGAATAATGTGTGTGCTGTTAGGAGTGTAGTCAATTTAGAAATTGACTATTAAATCTCTTCTCTGACAGAATGACAATGTTGATTGCTTTGGGACCATTTGACACTGACATTATATGTACAAGAAGGATGGCTCTTAAACCTGCTTATAAGACTAATGATCTTAAAGATGGCCTTTGATGGAATCTGTGGGTTAAGAAGACCAAATTTTATATGATAGTTGTGTGGTTTTCCTGGTCTGGTTAAGGATTTGCCATAGACAATTCTTCTATTCTTTTGTGCTAAAGACAACAATCGAAAAGTGTCTCAACCATACTAGATTATCCCCTGTTGTTCTTGGTTTGGTCAACCATTGCCTTCATTTAGTTGCATCAGGAATGGTTACAGGCCACCATTTGGCTTCATTTAATGATTGACATAAGAAACTTTGTATCTGTGGAAAAAATCACTGATTAATTTCAAAATGTTGTTTTTCTCATGTGGGGCTAACAAAGATGGGCCATGAAACAGAGGTTTCTGGGAGATGCAACAACATCTAATCATGATTTAGAAATTAAAGCTACTTGGAGTATAGACAATTACTTTTGGGTTATGTTTATCTTAGACCACAGAAGTTACATGGTAACTGATAGGCATAGGATGACTCCACTGCTAGTGATTTTGATGGCATCAATTATTTGGCTTTTCCTCAATAAATGGAGATAGAGATATAATAGATGTGAGGAAGGATTGAGAAGATAGAAGAAGAAAATAAAGAAGTGGGTCCTCCTGTCTTTTACCTCTTGTTGAGGATTATGCAATCCATTTGTTCTACTCTGATGTGTTTCTGAAGTGCCCACAGTAGCAATTTTTCTTGCTGAAACTTCTACCTCTATTTTTGGAGTGCATGAATATATTACTTTGGAACATCTACAGTGAACCATGAGAGTGATTTATCTTTGTATGTTTTTGTTACCTATAGAAACCTGGGAGGCTTCTTGAGCTGTGCATTGTTTGCAAAAGTCTTTCTCCATCAATTGAGATTTGAAATATCTTGAAAAGCAACATCTTTGATAGATAGGAATTGTGATTAGTACACATTGGTGATCACTCTAGGTTCATAAAGTTACCTACATAGGCAGGTCAGTGACAGAGTTGTGTAGCCCAGGAATTCAACAACCAATGATTATGAGGATATATAATGATGGACTTGCATGCTGTTGATTTCCATGACAAACATCTTATATCATATCTCAGCAGTAGATGACATTTTAAGGTCATATATGATGGAACAGAAAGAGAGAGAGAGAGAGAGAGAGAGAGAGAGAGAGAGAGGGATTTGACTGTTCAATTTTGTTTTATCTCTTTATACAAATAGTCTCAATCAATGATTGGATGTGCATCAAGCTCTACAGAAACAAGAAAGGTGAATCTACCCTTCAAAAGCTGAAGAGGTGCTGAAGGACATTGCAGGGTTGGACCATCTTATAACATATACCTCACAACTGTGGCTCATGCTGTATTGGATCATCAAGAAAAATCAGGTTTCGAGGTCAACAAACATGATCATGGCTGTTGGGTCTAATCTAATACAAAGTGGTCCAAGTTGGAAACATCTAGGTTTGGTTTCACTTCATTACATTCAAGAAACATCACTCATGAGATGCAAGAAGAGCAGAGTAGCTTGTTTTGTAGCTCAGCACCCTGCAGAAATTTTATCTTCTGCGGTTCCATTGGGACCAAGGCAGGCAAAGAAGACAGTGATGTTGTAATGACTTTCTCCAGGAGCATCAAAACATTACTGAAAGAGAGAAAAGAGAAGGTAGTGAAAAGGAGGAGGAAGATGCCACCTAAACTAGAGAACAAACTTTGATGGCCAAATGCTTCAAGGCTAAGTCAATTCACTGGAATTTTTATTATCAATGGTGACCCAAGAGTGACCTCTGAGGTCCCAAACCCTCTCAACAAGTCATGATCTAGCACAGTCACTGGATATACAAAACCATGCCACTAACTTCACAATGGATTTGACCTTTAGACCAGCCAATGGTCATCTGTTGCAGCCTGTCTGATCTTTTCATGAAAAGTAAAAGTTGATTCTTACCTGATCATTGGCTTTGCTGTTTTGACAAAAACAAGGAGGAAGCAAATATCCTAATTGATTACATAGATAGTTTCCTGCAAGATGGTATGGGAATTCTTGATTGCAACTTCAAGAAGACATTATGAAAACATGGCCTCTTAATTCCTCCAAAACAGTTTAGGTGATATAAGTGAAGTCACAGACTAAGATATCTTGAAGGGCCAAAGATTCCAATAGTTGATGGTGATGTGAAGCACCAGGAAAACTAAAGCATTAAGTAGTTGCTGGGGACCTAATGTTCACAGGGTTTTAATATGAGGGACCAGGATTTCTAGGAATGAAGTTTTATGTTGGGTAACCCAAGTTAAAACCCATCCCTATTTCAATATGGCTCATGGAATCTATTATGGTCAGCACTTTAGCTCCATCATAAACTAGGCAGGGATTCCAACATTGATGGGAACATTTGGATGGTTTTGTGCACCATCACACCACCTTCCCCACCATGCCCTGCCCAAGCACTTCATCATTCTATAAAACAAGAAAAAGAACCATAAATACTTCAGCACACTTGAGATTGATGTATCCTCTTTAACTTCATTCTTTGATGCAACAGGCCATTAGCATGCCACTCTAGTGTCTTCACCTTGTGATGTTAAGATGAACACTTGCATGCCAAACTTTGTACTTTGTTTTCCATCTTTTATTCCCCTCATCTTCTTAAAAGAACCATACTGCTACCACCCTTCACTGATCTACTCCTCCTCACTCATAGTTAAATGATGAACTACTGAATACTAAGTATATCAGACATTTCCTTAAGATGTTTTCAGCACAGGTTGTAATGAGAGACAGTACAGTTTTGCTGTGTGATTGTACTTCAACCTGTAATTCATGTCATATCTCTTGTACATCCCAAGATGTGGGGATTTAACTTTCTTGTTGGATCCCTCGATCAACACAAAAAAGATTTTGGTCGGTTTTGTGGGGTTGTGATCCTGCCACAAAAGTGAGAAGAACAGCAAGCAAAAGCTTAGCCATCCTTTGATGGCAATCCCTTGAGATCTGTTCTTGTTCTTTTTGGTGGGGTTTTTCTATCTCTGGCGATCAAAACTGTCATCAAGCCCTGCTACAGGACACTCTCTTTTGCCATGTTCGTGGACCTTCGAAGCAGTCGATTGAGGTCTCAGCCACTGTTTATGATGGAGGTGTTTCCAGCTCACTGCACAAGCTTTTCCATCCCTTTTTATTGCCTTATCTACAATCAGGATACTGTGTTGTGTTTGTAATCATGTAGTGTGTGCATGAAGGATTAGATTTCGATATGATTATAGGTGAAATCAAATCCACTTGATTTATTTTTCGAGCATTATCACGATAATGTCTTAGAGAAGCGCAGAAGTAAATAATTATATCATGTTTCGATCTATTCTTCTGAGTCTCAAGTTAGTATATATTAGTGGCGGACGATGAAAACTCATAATTGGTTAGATTATGATGTTATTTTATATAGTATCTATCGATGATGTAATAATCATCGATTATAAAATTTTATATAAATTAAAATATTTTATTGATATAATATGTTTAGTTAACATATTATATCCGTTAGACTTCATGTGTGTCGAGTCTCGATTAATAAATAATAATAATCATATCACACATCAAATATATAGTCAATATTTAGTGGAAAGGTCATATATAAATGAAAAATAAATTTATCTGAAGAGAAGAGAAAGAAAAACAAAAAAAAAGGGTGAAAGGTTCAGAAAAGATTCTTCTGCTTTCATGTTCTCATAAAGCAGTGTCCAACCACCGGAGTCGCAGTTCTGTAACATCAAATCCCACTTTGCCTTCCCTGCACATGAGTGGTGATGTTGTTGCAACTGATCAGAGAAGCAAAGCCTTCGTATCATCTTTAAGCAAAAGCTCTTCTCATCATCTTTTCGTGAAGAACATTTCTGCGACTGCGCTCCTTTTGCTTTCACCTTAGGTGACCACCACCTCCACTTGTTCCACCATTGCTCGGTGGACAGTGCGCAGCATGTGCCGCTCACAGCACAGAGGAAGAAGAAGGAACATAAAAGGGGCAGTGACGGCAACTCCCCTCCCTCCTACATTCTTCCTCGACTCCATGTGGATCGACTTTTGTGGGCAGCTGAAGCTTTCCTACTGCCCTCTCGATCTCGTCCTGTGTGGTAAAAGCTCGCTCGCTGTCACTTCTGAGCGAGCTTTATTCGGGTGGGCCGCTAATGTATTCGGCCCGTTACTAACTCATGATGGCCCATTTATTACTACAAAGGATCCGAGTAGGATAT